TTATTTTGATATATCACAGTGAAAGATTTATCGTCCTCTTTTTTTTTTTTTTTTTTTTAAAAAAAAAAAAAAAAAAAAAAAAAAAAAAAAAAAAAAAAAGAGGGCAGGAAAGGGATGAGGCAATGGCTCAGTGGGTAAAGCACACATGTAAGCATGAGTAAGAGAATTCAGACCTCCAGAAAACATGTAAAGCTGGGCAGCCATGGCAGCTGCCTGCAATCCCAGCACTGGTGAGATGGAGACAGGGACCCCTGGGACATTGACTATCTAGACTATCCAGAATTAGTGAGCTTCAGGTTCAGAGAGGCCTTGCTTCAATAAACAAAGAGGAGACTAATTAAGGAGGTGCCTTGGCATCAACTTTGGGCCTCCATACACAAGCACACAGGTACCCCAAAGCATATATACACACACATAGCCCGTACACCCATACACAGGTGAAAAAAAATTTCAAGATAATAAATACATAATGAAAAGAATGAAGAGCATGATTAATTAAGAAGTGATACCTTCTTCCTGTCTTGAAGGGGACCACCCACTGGACAGGAGCAGGCTGAGCCTTCAGTGCTTGTAATGTGCCCTCAGACCTACTTCCTCCCCAGTGAGGACTCACTAAAACATGTTGCTCAAGAGAAGCAACTTTTAATCTTCCCCAAGGCTCAGAAAAGAGCCCTAGTGTCTCCCAGTTACCTTTGCTACCTGATTAAAGGAACAGCTATAATTTTTCTAAGCTAATTCATTTCTCTTCAGGAAGAAAACAAAATATGCCATGATTTGGACCTTTGGATGTGAGGAGTTTTCTATGTTATTTTCCTGGACCATTGACTAGGAGTCAAGCTAGAGGTCTCAGTTCAGAGAGATGTTTGGTTTTTTTTTTTAATTTTATTTATTATTTTTATTTTATGTGTATGCGTGTATTGCCTGCATGTAGGTAAGTGCACCCGTGTCGTGCAGTGCCTGCAGAGGTCAGAAGAGACTATTGGATCCCCTGGGACTGGAGTTACAGACAGTTGTTAGCTGCCATGTGAGTGCTTGGATTCGAACCTAGGTCTTCTGCAAGAACAACCAGAGTTCTTAACCACTGAGCCATCTCTCCAGCCCCCAGAGAGATGTTTTAAAAGCAGAATGGAAAGGGGAGAGAGAAAGCTCTGGGTTAACACTGGAACACAAAGGGCCTTTGCGAACTTGGTTAAGCAGCTTGACCTTAAAAATCTACATTGCATCATTTTGCCTGAAGATAGTGCAATGTCATCAGTGTAAATCTAGCCCTGAATACAGGTGGTTCATCACTGCCAAGCAATCAGGTTAATAATAATAACAACTTCAACCAACAACCAGAAATATATATTGAGCACCTGTTCGGTACAGGAAGTAATACAGCCAAGTTAGCTATATTACTTTCATTCCAGTTAAAGAATTCATCCTCACAGAAATCCTATGAACAAGATATCACCATCATCCACATTTTGCAGATGAGGGAACCAAGTATAAAGCAGGTGAGTAACTTTCCTGAAGTCACCCCATGAAGCATTGGCAGAGCCAAGCTTCAAATCCAAGAAGCTGATCCCAGCATCTAGGCTACCTACCACATTATGTATTACTGCAACCAAAATCCACTGCAAATGCTGGCAGGGAGGATGACAAGGCACAAATCAAAGGAGCCGAATTGTTTAGAAAGCACTGGAAATGTTGCTACCTCAATTCTCACAACAAATATGTCATTTGTAGGAAAGTACAAAGTAGGAAAACTGAGTTACAGGAGTTTGAACTTCCCCAAGGTCACTGACTGATAAAGGCATAGCTGGCTGCCAAACTTGTCAAATTTCAGTGCTCAAATTATTATCCACTGTGGCATGATCCCACACGGAGAGAAGCCTGCACGTGGCATGACCTCTATTACAGCCCATGCATAAGGGAAAGGCAGTAGGGCACAGAACAGTGAGCATAGATTTTAAAGTCAGGCAGTCCTGACTGGCACTTGCTATCTGTGTGAGCTTAGGTACGGCTCTCTGAATCTGTTTCCTCATGTGGCCAACCTCCAAGGTGATTCTGAGACCCCAGTCATCTACCTCTCTAGATCTATTCAGACTACCATTTTCTTGGGAGAGGAGATCTCACAAGTATACAGGAAGTAAATCTCTGCTCAGAGGACTTTATGCCCTTCATGGTTTGAGTCATAGCATCCTCTTAGCAGAAACAGAGGACAATATTGTGCCAAGGTGGACTCAAAAGATCAAGGCCACATTCCCTCCACTCCCACCCAGAATTTCCCCTGGGAGCAGCTGCCATTATATTGCAGTTCTGTTAATGAGACTACTGAGCACTGTGGTGCCAGAGAGATTTGGTAGGCATGAAATCATTGCTGACACTGCCAGCTTGGATAAACAGGGACCCAGTTTTCAGTTATGAATTGCACAAAATAAGTTGGTGCTTTGATTGGTTGGGGATGGTTTGGTTTCAACTGGGAATTTTATTCTTTCTTGTACCCTTTAAAGAAAATTCACTATTCAACATTTAAAGATGAATTGTGTGTATGTGTGTGTGTGTGTGTCTGTGTCTGTGTCTGTCTGTGTCCATGTCTGTATGTGTATCTGTCTGTCTCTGTCTCTGTGTATCTGTATGTGTAAACATATATATTTGTGTGCATGCATGTATGTGTATGTGTACATGTGTGTATATGCTATACTAAAATTCTGCTGGCTTTAAAAATCTGAGTTTTATTCTTCTTCCTTGAAACACTGCATCTATTTGAATATACCCAGCCTCTTTTGGTTTTCCTTGTCATGCCTGACACAGTTCTAATTATTTTAAATGGCCTTGTAGCTAAGCATAAATGTACCAAAAAAATTCAAAGCCCAAGAGACAATTCAATTCTCTTTTGTCTTGGTTTTGAAGTTTTTTGTTGCTGTTTTGTTTCTCCAGTGGCAATTCTTTAGAAGTCTTCATATAAGCATTTTCTTTTTTTCATATTTTTATTGAAGTTTTGCAAATTTCCTACAATACATCTTGATCATATTAAACCCCCCCTTCCCTAACCACAACCTCCCAAACCCCACCAGAGTCTCACTGCAAAGTACAGGCTGCAGTCAAACTTGAGATCTCCACCCTGCCACCTCCTGAGCACTGAGATCTCAGGTTGACATCACCATGCCTAATTCTTTGAGTTCTCTATCTTCTCTATGGTAGCTCTAGATCAGAGGCTGGAAAACCACATCCCACAGGCTGTATCTGCCCCACTGTTTGAGTTTGTAAATAAAGTCTTCCTAAGACACGAGTACATCCATTTGTTGACATGTGGACATTTTGGTGCCACAGCAGCTTTTTCCAGTTGTGACAGAGGCCCTGTGGGCTTGAAAATTCTAAAATCTTTACCATCCAGGCCTTTTTGGAAATGTTTGCCAACTCCTGCTCTAAGGCAAGTCCAAGGGCTAGAATCACACAAGGCATGTCATAGTATTTATCCCTGAAGTAATTGAATCTTTTCTTTGTTCATTAAGGCTTTCTTGTCTTGTGATAAGCAAATTCTCTGAGAAATGGGCTATTTTTCTCTGCAGAACCTTTTCACAGATACTGGCACAGAATAGACCAGAAATATGAACCTATTTGTGGAACAAATGAGCTAAGGACAGACTTTGAGCTCAAGGGGGCCATAAGTATTCTTCATCTTGAATGAGAACTTGACTCACAAGTTCTCAATAGCTACATGTTTCCTGAGCTCTAAATTTAGAGAGTAGATATGTTTTTCAGGACGTTTGGGGACTGAGACAAGCCATTGGCTACATTATGATGGATCTCTTCTATTCCACACCATTTGTGCCCATTCTCTCTCTCTAACTTCACAAAATCCTCTCTGCCTCAAACCCTGAGCTGAGGCTCAGCTCAGTACTAATCTGCTAATTGCCTTGCAAGCTGGTCCTCTATTCTTCAGAATCCATCTGTGCTTCACAGCATGGTTCCCAACTGCCCACAGGGGCTCTGCGGGTATGCTCAAGCCCATCACTCATCTCCAAGGCACATGGGCACTCAGCCACTAGCTCTTAGTACAAGAGAAGCCAGGAGCAGATGCCATTGGATTCTTGGAAGTCACAGAAAGAAGGAATGACAGACGAGAACTTTAGCTTACCAGTTCCAAAATGTATTATCACTTGGATATTGAAGATGGTTTTAACATGGAGAGAAATCTGTCCCTTAAGAAACTAAGATTTGTAGATCAAAGAAAGAGCTCAAGAATCAATCTGTTCTGAATAGAAAAACAAGCTCTGACACTATCTATGAGTGCCAATTAATTGACTTTTGTATGGGAAAATCAGTGTAAAATTATAACTTTGCAGGACACA